GGATTTAATAGCTTTAACAAAAAATGTAAACGAAAAGTGGATTTAAAGGTGTGTGTAGGCCATAACTGTAACTTAGTCCTTATTTAAAGACATTTGAAAACTTTAAATCTTAAATTGAACCAAATTAAAGCTAAGATCTTTAATTGAGAAAACACGCAAATGTTAGATCCTTAATTGCTCATTTAGCCTAAAAATTTCTCTATATCAATAACTATGTTTCTTGTTATAGAAATGTAGTCATTAATAAATCATAGTAATTTTTCACCTGGAAATGTAGTAAATGGCAATGATCATGTTTTCTAATTTCAGAAACACTATATTTTTAACATATGAAACATAGTTGATATTTTAAAATAATAACAACATAAATTTGATATTTTTAATATCAACGATGTTTCTTTGTATGCAAATGTAGTAATAGACAAACATAACATTTTTTTATATATGAATGTGATTATTATAGGTATATATTAAGAACTACATTTTTTATTACGAAAATGCAGTTATTGATAATAAATTATAGTAATTGATCACTTGAAAATGTAGTAACTGGCAATGACCATATTTTTTGGTTTAAAAACATCGTTGATAATAAAAAAAAAAAACCAAATAAACTGACAGATAAACATGGTATTAACCATATTTTCTTTTTAAACAACATCATAGAACTCTAGTCAAACCCAAAATTGTACCCTTTTTGTTTCATATGACATCACCTTCTAGCTTTATGATATCATTTTCATTTAAATCATTTTCGCTTATCTTTATTATTATATGGTTGGTCTACTTTTTGTTTTGTATGATTTGTTTTGTATTATTTATTTATGTCAGATGTCTTCTTGTTATATTGCTAAATCCGGGTTAGATCTTAATTTAAAAGTTGTTAATCTATCATATGTGTTCTTGCTATTTGTTATTCGTTGGATATGGCTTAGATCTTAATCTACCAAATGCACATTATTGCTTTTGAAACGTGTTTTCAACATTAACAAAAATTTTTCTTATAAATAGTTATGACTCATTTATCAATAAGAAAGAAAATGCAATTGGTAACAATGCTTATTTTGCATATGAACCAAATAGAGATTATGTTTCAACTATTACTTATTGTTGCTGTAACATTAGTTACTATAAAACTTAAAAAAAGATGTAGAATCATTTATACTGATGAAACTCTTGATAGGCTTTAGATTATGTTATTGAATTTAAACAAAATGATCTTTGAGAGTGATATACAAAGTGTGGATAATTGTAGAATGGATAGCTTAACTTTTGTAAAATTATATCAATTACTTCAAACATAAAAATGATTAAAGACATATAGATATATGTCAATAAAAGAAATGATTATTAGCTTCTTTCACATCATTGCCCATCATACAAAAAATAAGATTATGAAATATCAAGTAGGCAAATCTAGAGAAAAAATTAGTATGCTGCATTGAATTTTATTTTAAGACTGCTGCATTCCCTGTTGTTTAAAAAACCAGAACTGATAGCAGAGAAATCAACAGATAATAGATGAAAATGGTTTAAAGTAATGCATTAATTATTGCTTGCACTAAATAAATATTAATAAATCTTAAATTTGTATAATTTATTAATCAGAGTTGTTAGATTTAGGATTGTTTGGGTGCTTTAGATGGAACTTATATAAAGGTGAATGTAGGCTCAGTTGACAGGCCTAGGTATAGGATTAGGAAAAATGAAATTGTTAACAATGCTCTTGGTGTTTGTACACTAGACATGCAATTCATTTATATTGAACTGGGATGTGAAGGTTCTATAGAAGATGACAGAGTGTTCAGAGATGCCATTACATGTCCACGAAAAAGATTGCTATGCATATATCGAATTTATCTGATAACTAAATTGAAATAAATTTTATCCATTCTACATCACTAATGATAATTAAATATATGGCTAGGGGATAAGCCAAAAGTTTAGAATTATCAGATTTAGGTAATATATATTTTTGAGTTAATCTGCCTTTGAAATCTCTAAATTTCATACTAGCAAATTGTAATACAATCATTTTATACTCAACGGTATGTTAAAGCATTCCTATAAAGAATAAAATAATACATTGGAATAATGTAGTGTAATTGCATTCTATAAGTAAAAGACATAAAAAAAAACAATAACTTTTATTTGATTAATATAACTTATCACAATTGATTCTCAAATTTGGTTATTTTTCTTTGCTGGAATGTTCCTCCAACTATTGTAGTTAATGGATATCATCTCTCAGATGAAACATCTAAGATGGCTAGCCATCTTCGACCCACCATTAAGACAAGCTGGTTATTGGTATTGAACTAAACATGTATTTTTATCCCAGTTGCTTGAAGCAACTTAAATCATCCCTTAACTTATTTTTTTTTTCAAATGATGTGTCAACCAGATGGGTTAATGATACATGTTCTTCTTCATATTCAGCTGAAGTAGACATCTGTTCCTTAGAATCCATTATATCAATTTATCTTTACAAACAACTATGAAATGGAAAAGAAATATACTTCAAATACCTTAATATTTGCTTTGTTTAATAAATAAGCAATAATGAGAAATGATTTGTTACTTGACACAAAAACAATATTGATGATGACAACAATTGCTATAGCGATTTGATAGCATAGTGTTCATTTAGATATAAAGAAAAATGTCAAGCGATGCATTGATGAAGATAAGAGAGACTTGTTTACAGATTTAGGGACAAAAGTGTATACAAAATATCGAACACTACATTTATAATAGCAAAAATGTCATGCTTGTTAAATAAAATTTTTTTGTAATTTATCAAACATTGCATTTATAATAGTAGAAACTTCATGTTTGTTCAAAGACTGCGTTTATTAAACTTAAATGTTGTGCTTGTTTATTTGTCAAACATTGCATTTGTAATGCTAAAAATGTCTTTGTTCAAAAACTATGTTTACAAAACCAAACTGGTGTGCCCTTTTTTTTTTTTTTTATCAAATATTATGTTTATAATGATAAAAACATCGTGTTTGTTATTTATTACGGCGTTTATATAATAAAAACGTCATGTGTCCTCTATTATATTTTGTATTTTTTTGTTCATAATATATGAACTTATTTTTAGTAATGAAAAAAAGGAAAATCTTCTTTATTTTTGTTATTTAATAGTTGTTACATGTTCTTTTTAATAACATAATTAGGAGTTGTAATATTTGTCATGTGATATTCATATTTAATGAAAGATATTATAGTAAAAACCCTTTATTATGTAATCTAAAATTTCATAAACCAAATATAAGAATCTAACATTTTCATAATTGGAAAAATCACTCCTTATAAAAAATTGACACTTTTTCTAATATCATTCTCTAAAATAGCTTAAATTTCACGAATCAAACAGGGCCTAAAACTTTTTCAATACTATTTTGTAACTAATCCAAAATTTGATGAATCCCAAGTTTTTGAAAATCCGCCTCCAAGTTTATACGAAGACAAGTTAATTAGTTTAATATTTCTTTATAAAAAGTAAAGTGACAGACAATTCAATCAAATACAAAGCATCTTAGCAATCATGTTTTGTGTTGGTGCTACAGGGCGTGTGCATTTATGCTATGATTGTGGTAATGAGCAAAGATTTCGATAACTTGTCTTTTTTTCTCTGTGAATTTGAATAGCGTAAAATATTAATTATTTATGTATTTGTGTGATATTTTATTTAAATAATTATATGTTATAATTTATATTGATATAAAAATAATAATTTTATTTTTTTATTTTTGTTAAATTTATATATAATTTTTAATAAAATTTTAAATTATATCATTTTCTTATTTTTATTTATATCATGTTTCTATTTTACATTTTAAATTATTATTAAGTCTACTTACAAGGATACGCAAATCCCATAATAGTGTCAAGTTGGTTATGACCAGCTTGTTCAAATTGTAAACTTGGAATTTTCTGGGAAAATTTCGGTTCCAAGCCTGCTTCATTGGCACTACATGTCAAGATCAAACATAGCAATTAGAACAGTCAGGCTTTCAAAGGATTTCAAGGTTAATTGAAGATTTTTTGATGGAAAATAAAGAAAAAATTTTGAAAAGATTTATCAGCTTCTTGGCGTGCAGTTATTCTCCTATGATTTTGAGCTCATTCGGTCACTAGATTCACTTACCAAGGGCAAGGGGCCCCCAATCAATAACACATGCACCTAAAAGCAAGAAGAAACATATGCACCTGTTCTGCAATAATTGTGACCAATTTGCTTTTGTTTTACTTTGAGGGTGGGGTAAGGGAACGATCAAAAATCCAATTAACATCCTAACTGGAGAGGGGGCCCTGCCTTCTCTCCCCATGCCTCAGATTTAAAGACATTGATTGAACAATGAAGACTCTTGTGGGCACTAATTATGCAGTAAAAATCATTTTTCGTGCATCCCTTAACCATAAAAGAATCTAGCTACTTACACAAAACTGTCGGCAATGCATCTCTAATTTTTTTTTTTTTACAAATATCATTTTTTAATAGTAATTATATGAGTCAATTAAATTAAATTCTAAATTCACATTAATTTGCATAAATAACATATCACTAATTTGTTATAGTTAATCAGATGTGGGGTATTGCATTTTGATTCATGTTGCATTTGTGAGGATAAAACTTATAAGAAATTTTGTAGGTGAAATTTGTGAAATTTCTTTTTAAAAATGATTTAACAAATTTTTTAAAAAAAATTAAAACCAAAAGATTGATAGAGTTTAGTGTGAAAATCAATCATATATAAAAATTATTAAAAATGTTGTTTATAATTCAAATTTAATGGATATTTATTTAATAGTAAAAATTTTGTCTACATTTTTATTGAAAATGTCTTTCTAAGAATATATATAAAAATTTTTTAAAACTTTTTCAAATTTCACATATTTGTAAAGAGATCTTTTAATTTATAGGTTTTAATTTTTATTAATCATTTCGAATAAAACATTTCGTGAATTTTACTTAAAACACTTTATCCGAATCTTTTCTCATTTATGAACCTTGCGAATTTAGCTAATAATGAATAAGCAACATTTTTTACATTAAGCAGTAGAATATTCATGTAAATCATCTATACAATTCTCATCCACGATCATCATAAAATTAGTCTCTAAGGTCATCGTCTAGAAGGGGTTTACCTATCAGTATCAAGGAATGTTGCTTCATTGAATAGCACAAACGCAAGAGTTCCTAACTCCCTCGAGCTCTCCATCATCTGACACACTTTTATGATAAAAAAAAAAAAAGAAAAAGAAAAAGCAAGGAGTCAGAAATACAAAAAGTTGGAAGCCGGAGCTTTAATTGATCAATTGAATCATGCAGTAATTTCTAGCAGATTTAGATTCAAATTTCAATATATATATATAAAAGAAAGTAAGTTGGTTTAGCCCTGAACTTACCCATGAAAAGGGAGCTCAGACATATTCAACATTTACCCATGTTAATGAGATTCCTTTAAAAAGAATTAACCCTTGTCTATCTTAGATTTGAATTGGAGTTGTAGGTGGATATGTAAATAGATAATATTACCTTGGCTCAAACTCCTGGACATGAGCAATGTCTTTTCCATGAGCATCTGGCCAACTTACTTTTCTCCTTTCTGTCGTTAAGAGATTCCCCAGATCTACTATTGTACTAGTTGTTTTCTTGAGATTACTCTTGCGAGTTGGAATTAGTTCAATGTTGTGAGGTCCATTAGTCCGACTATTACTGCATCTACTGTTGCTGCTGCCACCATTTCTGATCCTGTCTTGGCCTAATTGTAATTCCTCATTATTACCAACTTCTTCCATGACCCCATCTTTAATATTCTTTCCCACACCAGACCTCCTCTTGATGTTGCTGCCGCTGCTACTGCTATTGCTTCTGTTGTTTATTTCTTCACCTTTGCTATCCAGATTCCCTGATGGTACATAGCAAGAGCAGACTAGAGCAGTGCACCTGTTCTGTGCCGACGCCGCCAGGAGTACAGCCCCACCCAAAACAAGCTTATATGTATGTCTTATTTCATCATACCATAACCATGAACCCTGCTTTGATTATTATATCTATTTGATCAACCAAATAAAAATGGTGAAGAAACAGCTTCATGTATATGTAAATATGTACGATTTATGAGGACAACTTTGATTTACATAGAAGAATAGGAATAAGATGTGGTGGAATTTTTAGGTTGCGAAAAGATGGATGGATGGCAGGATATAGAAGGCAAGTGCAATTATGTTTTCATATGGGCAGCTTCCCCCACTCAAAGTTGTTTTCTTTTGCTTTTGCCATCAGCACTCATTATTGAGGTGAAAATGAGGTGAATCAAAAAAGGATTGGATTGCTCATCACCCCCAGCTTTTGACTGTTTTGTGGGGAGAATATGTATTCATTGTTTGAGTTAATCTTTTTTCTTTTCCTTTCTCATTTTGTTTTGTTTTTTTCATGGCATGAGAGCCTGCAATCAACAAGTGGCAAGAAAGGAAAAATTATAGTTTCACGGGACATTATTGTTGAAAAAAGGAATAAAGAGAGAATTGTATCTAAAACTTCTTTTTGTTTACATTATATAAATTCATTGTGCTTTTGCTTTGCGTTGTTTTTTTTTTTTTTTTTTTTTCCGGTAAGTGTGTTTTCGGGTTGAGGGCGGCTTAATTTGTTAGGGCTTAAAGGAATGCTTTAAGAGTGCATTTGGTTAGGGGAATCTACAATTTTTTTTTTTTTTTGAAATTTTGATGGTGAATATTTGTTTTTCATGTTTGGTTTTAAGTAATTTGATTATGGAGAAAATATTAGATTTCCAACATTATTTAAAGTCTTAGAATCATAAACACACATTTTTCTCTAGTATTTTAGGATTTCGGGGTGGAAAGTTATTTTATTTCTAAATTTGATCTAAATAAAAAATTTATCATATATTCGTTACCCTTTTGAAAAATAAGTTTGAGACTCAATTTTAGTTTTATTTTAAAAAATTTGCTTTATTATTAATTCAATTTTAATTGATATCAATTAAGGCGTTTCATCTTATAGATGCCTTAATTGATATCAATTAAAGCATTTCTTCATACTAACACTTTAATAGATATAATTAAAGAGTTTTTTTTCCTACGAATGCCTTATTTTATCTATTCAAATAAAGTGTGTTTTTTCTTTTATAAATGTTTTATTTGATAGATGATCTTTTATAATTTTTATAAAAGCAAATAAGGTATTTGTTTGAATAAACGTCTCATTTGAATTTTTTTTTAATATATTTACAAAAGTAAATAAGACATTTAGCTCCTTCAAATGTCATAATTAATTTTTTTTTATATTTTAATTAAACAATTATGACTTGATATCTAGTTAAACATCATAATTGGGTATATTTAATTAAAAAATTAAAGTCTTTCTTTTCTTTTGCTATTATAAGCATCATTTATTGTTTGATTTTTTTTTAATTAAAACAAAAGGAAAGGATATCTATAGCTTGTCAAGGAGATTATTTATTGATTTTCCCACTTTCCTCAGATATTAGTTTTAATCTTTATTTATTGATTTAGAGATGTTATGAGATGAAAGCCTATAAAGCTTATTTGAATTTAAGAAAATCACAAACATTTCACTTATAATTTTTTTTACTGTAATTATGTAATTAGTCAATTGCAATAAAAAATATGTAGGGATCCACCATTTAAAAGTGTGAGTTTTACATAATTTTTTTTTATATATTTTATGCATTACTAAATTATAATTGATTAATTATACTATAATAATTATAAATAATATGCTAAAAAAATCTATTCAATTTATTTAAAGTTGAACCTAACTTAACTTGATTAAAAAAAATCAACAACGAAAACCATCCACACTGAATTCCAAATAATTCAATTAGATTCAAATAATTTAAAATATTAATTAGAATTAAATTAATTTAATTTTAAAAATAAATAATTTAAATTCAAAATAATCCAAACTAAAATAATTACAGTGTCAAAGTCAAAAAACTTATTACCACTTCGTCATGATCTGTGTTTCAATTTTTTTTTATAAAAATATATGTTCATTATTTTCCTTTTCTTCATTTAGGAGCTTAATTTAGCAGTCTCTTCAATTCAATAGTAAGTCATTTCATTATCAAAAAACAAGTCTACTTCATTTTCACTTATTTTCTGTCTTTTTAGGCACATTTGGACAAAGATGCCCTGGTACAAACAAAATAACTCAACTTAGGCATCTATTTGATCCAAACCGCGAGTAGGAGATCCTGAGACCTTAAATTTCAGGTTCAAATTCTATCATTTGTAAGTTTGATCTAAATTTATAAGTAAGATTTTAGTTTTTTAATTCGTTAATTTATTGATTGATTATTTCCTTGATTTTTTATACCAAATGTAATAGTCATATCACATATTGAAAGCTATTTAAGTGTAATTGTAATTGTAATTTTTATTTGCACATATAATTAATTTCATCTACAATTAAAAGAAAAAAAACCCCAATTAGATGATGGATTAATGGTGCTATAGAAGTTAATAATTGATCCAAACCACCATAAATTATCATATGGCAACCGACATGTGAGTGGTCAATTTTTGACATGAATCGTTGTTGATGAGGTTACCAAAACCTTAAATATCTAGGCAAATTTCTCAATAATGTTTGCAGGAAAGCATGGTTTAAATCCAAGACCATTGCCATTTGAGTTCTAACATCAGCTACTACGATCGATCTAGCCCTTTCACGAGCAATAATATATACCCCATTAAAGGCAATGCAATTCCATATTATTTTTGCTTTTAAAAATGCCTTTGGACAATGTAGCTATATCAGATTATACGTTTCACCCCTATCAGACAGATACATTGAACCATAATTTTTTCTTGGTGGATCGGTTCATGAATTCAAACACTTTGAAGAAAACATTAAACTATTTGACTGTTTCCTATATGACTTATAATTGGTTTTATGCAAGATTCAGGGAAACTTAACAGATATTACATTTGATTATTATATTTTGTAAGAAAATATGAAATTTACCAATGAAATTTACTTGGTCAAATGACATTCTATTATCAATCACAGGAATTGATTAATGGGCTTGCACAAGGCCCACCATTCACATGATAAATAGGTTTAAGTTAGGCCTTGGGCAGTCTGCAATGGTTATGGTGGACCTAGTAAGCTAAATCCAATCGGCCTTTGGGCAACATCCTCAATCCAATGTGCTCGTGAGTCCAATTGCCTGATTCGTTACCACCCTCAAAATTTAACGAGTCTCTCTTTGGCATTTCAGAGCGAGTTTGCAAAGCAGCTTCACTCTATTTTGCATGAACAAAAAGCTGCCATTTTGTTGGCATAGAGGTTTTTTCTGTTAAGTGCAACTCTTCTGTTGCTTATGACATATCTAGCTTGTGCTACCAGTGTTTATTGTGGTTTTTGAGGACACCTGGATTAGGTATGGCTATAACATGGGATAGGAGACTTTCGAAATTTATGATTTTTGTGAAATTCTATTTAGCTAAGTTATTTGAGAGTTTGATTTTTGAATGACTATGATTATAACAATATGATTACCTACTTTTATTTTTGAATCAAAATTGTTATGATTATAACAAAAGGCCGAGGAACCATTACCATCTCATTAAATAGAAACTAGTTTGAATAAACTTTACCTTAACCATTACCATCTCATTACATAGAAGCTAGTTTGAATAAACTTTTACCTTATATTGTGGAACTTCTGTCATAAGATATTGATGAGGAAATTGAGAATAAAGAAATATTGATAGGTGTTAGGGTTTACCTTGAATCTCTTAATCTCACATTGAAAGTTAAATGAAGTTATAAGAGTTGAGAATTTATCTTGTATCTCACATAGGGAGTTTAGTAAAGTTATAAGGAGTTTCACCTTTATAAATAAAATGTTTTGATTTTAGTTTGATAATTCTAGATACTTAAACACTAAGAGAATAGCTAAGTGAGTAGGCTATTAAAATGGTGTAATTGAATTTTGGGTTAAGTTTTAAGTAAGGAGTTATAGGTGACTTTTCTCATTCCAAAAGTCTTAGTTGTAATGATTTATTTGTCAGTGGATTGGGTTTAGAGTTGACCATTTTGAATTAGGTCGAATATATTTGTGTGTTTTTATTCTTATTTTAGGCTTGCTCTATTGTTTATGTATGCCGATGTTGTGCATATATGTTAATTTTTAATAAGTGATATCAGAACAAGATTCAAGGTTTGAAATGTCAAAAAAAAAAAAGCAGGCTAAGAGACTGTGAAACAAGTATTTCAAGATGTATGAAGAATGTATATCTAGTATGCCTATGCCTAAGTTTAAGATTGTACTATTTGATGGAAATAATAATTTTATGTTATATCAAAGTGCAATTCAAGATCTGTTAGTACAAAAAGGATTGGATTAGGCATTAGATAGTAATAAGCTTGAGGGAATGTCTGACAATAATTGAAATAAAATAAAAAATAAAGCTATTAGTACTATTACATTGACAATAGCCTTAGAGATAAAGTACAGTGTGTTAACTGAAAGTATTCCAAAGAGTTTGTGGGATAAGTTTGAGGGTATTTGTGCTTCAAAGTCTTTGATTAATAGATTATATTTGAATATGGATTTGTATTATCTGATTATGAAAGAAAGTACGAGTCTTTATAGTCACTTGAATAAGTTTAATATATTAGTTTCTCAATTGCTGGCTATTTTTGTTGATGAGTTAGAAAAGAAAAAAAAGACTTTAATTCTATTGTCATCTTTGCCGAAGTCCTATAAACTTTTAGTTTAGACTTTGTTGGTGGATAGGTCTATTCTAAAGTTGGATGATGTGACTGTCTTATTGTCTGAGAATGAAAGGTTTATGGGAACATAAAACTCAACACCTAGAAGGAGTGCACTAATTATAGAAGGTTCTGATCGAGAGAGAACTTAAAAGAGGATTGATAGATTAAAAAAGAGATACAAGTCAAGAGACAGAGATTATAGTGACATAAAATGTTATTATTATGGTAAAAAAAAAGACATATCCAAATGCACTACAAGAAGCTGAGAAAGGATATGACTATTTATAAAAGAGCAAATGACGAGAAGAAATTAGATAAAGGAAAGAGTAATATTGTTGTTGTTATGTTTGATTATGCTGATATTGTTTTGATGACTTGTCTGGATGAGACTCAAAATTTGAAAGGTGATAAAAGTTGGGTTTTAGGTTTAGCTACTAGAGTCCATATTTGTAATGATAAGAGTTATTTTGTAAAGTTGAAAAATAATGAGAAGTATAGAGATATTGTGGCTACCAACATAGAAAAGGTACAGATTCAAGGTATTATGAGTGGTCGTTTTAGGTCTTACAATGGTGTTGTTAGGACTTTTCATCAGATAAGGTATATTCCAAGTTGTAGCTATAATTTGATTGCTTTGGGTGAGTTAGTTTCTCA